ATCAGCGTCTGTAAGGTGGGAGCATGCTAGAGAGGTAGCTAGAGGCTCATCATGGGGCCTTGTGGACCTTGGATTCCTGAATCTTTTCCCCTCTAGGTGTGATGGGAAACCATTGGAGGTTCCTTCTTTTTTGCTTTTACCTTTGTTACTCAAATGTGATGTGCATCCAGAAAAAATGCACAAAATAGTACGTGTGTAGATAGCTTTGGGGTGTATTGCCATCTCAAGATATTCAGTCTTCCAATCCATGAACATGGGGTATCTTTTCATTTATTTAGATCTATTTTAATTTCTTTCAGCAATCCTGTAGTTTTCAGTGTACAAATTTTTGTACCTCCTTGGTTAAATTTATCCCCAAGTATTTTATTCTTTTTGCTGCTGTGGTAAATATAATTGTTTTCTTAACGTAATTTTCTGGTTGTTTATTGATATTGTATGGAAATACAACTGATTTCTGTGTGTTGATCTTGAATCCTGTAATTTTGCTGAGTGTGTTTATTGCCTCTAGTAGTCTTTTTTTGTGGATTCTTCTGGGTTTTCTATATATCAGATCATGTTACCTGTGAATATTGATGATTTTACTTCTTTATTTTTAATTTTGATACTATTATGGGCTGAATTTTATTCCCCCCAGATTCATATGTTGAGACCTAACCTCTAATACCTCAGAAGGTGACTGTATTTGGAGATAGACTTTGCAGAGGTAATTAAGGTGAAATGAAGCCATGTGGATAGGCCCCATTCCAATCTGACTGGGGTCCTTATAAGAAGAGAACATTTGGATGCAGGATGTGTATGCAGAGAGGGACAGCCATGTGAAGAGAGTGGCCATCTGTAAGCCATGGAGAGAGACCTCAGGAGAAACCAAACCTGCTAACACCTGATCTCAGACTTTCAGCCTTTGGAACTATGAAAAAATAAACCTCTGTTGTTTACACCCCCAGCCTGTGGTATTCTGTATGGCAGCACTAGCAAACTAATACAGACACCTTTGTTTTAATAACATTGACCTTCCAGAAAATTGTTGCATCTGCTTCATGATCTTTGCTGGGGACTGTCTGCAGAGTTGAGGCCCTGACTAAGATTTTCTGACAAACAGTTGCAGATCTTATACTCATGTGGGGAGGAGAACTTATTCTGGCGTATTGGTTTTCCTGGCAAGGCTGGCTAGGTCAGGCAATATCCCAAAGAAACAGAGGTCTCTCCTGTTCTCTTTCCTTGGTCCCCAAGCCAAGACCATCCTTGCCATTTTAGGACAGCTTTGCCCTCCCCTTCTCCTTTGACACTTACCACACTCTACCCAAGATGGGTGTGGGCAAGTTCGTTTGATGGCACGGCTCATTGTCCTCTTCTTTTCAGTGATTTTGTTGTCCCACCCTTCCCTCTGTTACCATCTGGTCTCGGTGTTGACTTTCATCAGAGGGGTGACTGTAGCCTCTCTGTGGTTCCCCAGCCACTAGGCCATCTGCCTCACTCTCTCTCTCATGCCAGACAGTTAGGCCCATGCAGCTCCAGCTTTGACCAACCCACCTTCTAGTGACATGGAACATAAGACCTAGGAGGAGGGTGGGTATCCCACCCTTTTTACCTCTTCTTGGACCTCCTATAACAACTCCCCATGTCCCTCGGTGGGCCACTGAGCTTTGCCTCCAGTGCCATTTTCCCTTCTTGTAAAAGGGGAATAATGACATGATCCACCTACTCTTTGTGGTGGCCGATCCAAGAGGTTATAAATGCAACATGAAGAAATGGCAGCTCAGGGAAAATGCTTTCTCCAGACAATATCACCTTCAAAGGTCATTCCACTTGGAATTGTGCAGCCACCTTCTAGCATGGAGAAAAATTCTCCAGAATGACCAATAAGGCCATTCATTGGTGCAAGAAATAGGAAAGGCCTCTGCATGTAAGTCTGAAGCCTGAAGTGTTCTCAGCTTCTGCTGCATTTCCCTTTAGACCGAGTCAGACCTCAATTTGTCATTTATCCATCCATGGCTGAATTTTACAGCCATGATGCTTCTCTCGTTCAGACTTGGGTTTGAATTCTGGCTCTCTCACCCCTCAGGTGAGAGACTATAAGAGCTGTGTCTACTTGAATGTTGCCTCAGTTTCCTCTTCTGTAAAATGGGGATGCTAATCCCTGTTTCATGGTGTTATCATGAAGATGAAATGAAAGAGTGGCTCTAGATACTGGATCTAGAATGTCCCAGGAGATTCATTTTAAGATAATAATAAAGTATTTATGTATAGGAAAGTTCACAGAGAGTGGTTTATTACAGGGAATAATAGAAAACAATCTAGGTGTTTACGACTAGGGGAGACAGTAAATCCATTGAGACCCAGGAGACCCATTATAGGACAGCAGAACATGGTCCCTACAAAAGATGATGCAGGTATACTTTCAGTGACATGGAAGGGTGGTCACAATAGAGTGTAAATTGTTAAAATACAGATTATGGCACTTTTCTTTAGAATAGCCTTTGGCAGTGGGGCCATATTAGTTGTATCGGTCAGCATCTTCTCACCCACAACTGTTTCAGGGAGCTCCCCTTTGCCCATGTCCTCACGGCCAGGCTTAGGCCAGGGACCCTGTCCTAGCCATGTTCATGAGACAAGGCTGAGCAACCAGATTCTTTCTTTTGGAGAAGAATCTTGGAAAGCAGACAGAGTGTTGAGCACAAGCACTTTGGAGGTGACTCCCCCTTGGGGATGTAGAGCAGGGAGGATGGTGGGTCCGGAGCCAACAAGGGAAGCTGTTCCGTAGCAGGCCAACTGGACTAGGAGGAGGTAGGGAGGAAAGGTCTGCAGCCTCAGGGAATGAGAGTGAAGGAGATGGAGAGTCTGAGAGTGACCACTGAGGCCTTGTCACCGTCATGGAGCTCAGCTTCACCCTGCCCCCTTGCCATTGAGAGGTGTCTCTGTGGGGGTGGTCAGTCTGGAGAGGCAAAGGGACAGGGTGAGTGCCGTCATCATGAGTGGTCCTGGGCCTCCGGGCAGAGAAAGAAAGTAGAGCACACAGTAAGTATTGAGAGAAGCCTGAGGATAAGAAATAGAACCTTCCACATGCCATACAGTAACTGGGGCTCAGCGCCTGTCTGTATGCTCCCACCTTCACCAGGTCAGGACACACAGACTGGCTTCCAGCTACCAGCGTTGTGGTCTCTCTGCCTTCAGATCACTTAGTCCATGGAAGTCTGCTGGCGTACAGGAAAAAAAAAAACACTGGAAAATTAACATTTCCCACCCCTAGCAACAGACCTCAACCAATGACTCACGGGGGTGGGTATAGAAATACCCCAGCTCCCTTGCTCCTTGGGGTGCGCTAACTCAGGAGTGTGTGTCTACTCTGGGTCCTAAATTTCCAAGAGGGATAGAGCCTTGGTTGCCCTCAGTGGTGACCTGCTTGCCAGCACACCTGTGCGCCAACACACAGCCTCACTTCCCCACTCCTCCACTCCTGTGTCCTGGGACCAGATAAGCTACTCACACCCACATCCTCGTCTTGGGTCTGCTTCTACGAGTACCCAAACTGGAGCACATCACCAAGTTTGGTTTTCTCTGCCCTTTCTGGCATCCTGTAGACTTGTCATTTTGCAGCTGACATGGGGTGTGTGTGTGGGGGGGTGTTATGGACTGAATGTTTGCATCCTCCCACCCCTCCGAATTCATATATTGAAACATTCCTCCAAGGGGATGGCATCAGAAGGTGGGGCTTTTGGAAGGTGCTGAGCTCATGAGGGTGGAGCCCTCACGCATGGGATTAGTGTCCTCATAAAAGAGACCCCAGAGGGCTCCCTCACCTTCCCATCACAGGGGGCCCAATGAAAAGATGGTGGTCAACCAACCAGCAACAGGGTCTTCACCACACACCAAATCTGCCGGCACCTGGATTTTGAACTTCCAGCTTTCAGAACCGTGAGGAATATATTTCTGGGTTTTTTTTTTTATGGTTTTCCTTTTTATTTAATCAAAGGCTGGTGGATAAACATAAATAGAGCACAGTTACTTCAGATCATTCTTCATATTGTATACACACAGACCGATGAATGTAATCTGAAAGAAACCTGCGGTCGGCAATGAAATGCATACAGCTTTTCCTTCCCTTGCTCAAAAAAATTTAAAAACACAAAAACTTAGAATCTCATCAGCACACACTCTCTTGTGACAAATGATTCAGACATAAATAGGGGGTGCAAAGAAACTATATGCTAACATATGTAGAACCTTGGTTAATGAAAACCCAGAAGCAGCCATAAGGATGAAGATACATTCAGTGACTGGTAACTAGTTGTGCCCTGAGGGGCTCCACTGACAGAGATCCTGCTGCAGAGAAAAGCTATGTTACACACACAATGAGAAAATAAACTGCAAGATCAACACCATGCATGTTTAGTACTAGAAAAATCACAGCCTTCCAAAATTTCTCCATGTCTGTTATAAAAGCCCTCTGCACTCAACTAGAATTAAAATGATCTTAAAAGGATAATACTTGTAAAGTTTACTTAAGTCTTTTCAGCCACAGAAACTGCAATGGAAATAAATGTTCAGAGGCATTTTCAAAACAAAAACAAAAATCTATTCTTCTGATGACATGCATGATTAAAAGGTCTATGCAAGGTACATTGCTCTACATTCCCAATGACTAGGAAAAAAACCTCAAGTCAATTTTTAGTTTGCAGATGGTCAAAGGATTTTGTATTCCAGCAGGAGTTCAAATCTTCTGGATCTTTTCACCAACAACTACTGGATGTTCTTTTCTGATTTTCTCAGCAGCATCAGCTTGGTAATTCTTTTTTTTTTTTTAAAGATTTTATTTATTTATTTGAGAGAGAGAGAATGAGAGATAGAGAGCATGAGAGGGAAGAGGGTCAGAGGAAGAAGCAGACTCCCTGCTGAGCAGGGAGCCTGATATGGGACTCCATCCCAGGACCCTGGGATCATGACCCGAGCCGAAGGCAGTCGCTTAACCAACTGAGCCACCCAGGCGCCCCAGCTTGGTAATTCTAAGAGCAATTGTGTACATCGGAGTAACGGTGTACATCACAGTAAACATTTCCACACCGGCATTCAAACCCAGTAAGTCCCGCTTTCCTCCTGCACATGAAACAGTGATTCTTTTTTTTTGTTTTTGTTTTTCAAGAGACTTGCTTTGCTCTTTAGATGGCTGTTGTGCCGTATCTGACACAGAAGCTTGCTTTCTGTTTCATGTCCTGCTTTGTCCACAGGTGTACTGTCCACTTGGGAAGATGCTACAGATACTGATAAAAATGACTGATTTGATACGGGGCTTGGCTGCACAGATGCAGGCATGGAGTCTAGCGGTGACTGAGCATCCAGGACACCACCATCTGTGCACTGGACGGGTAAAGATTCAGACAGACTACTGACAGAAGCTGCAGGGGGGCTTATTCTGCCATTATTACTACTCTGTCTTTGAAGATGTTCTCTATAGCACACTGAACACATGCCATTTGTACGAGCGTTTCCATAAAATCTGCAGCCAGTGGAACAAAGCACAGGCACTTGGCTGTCATTAGTTTCTTGAGCCTTGTTCCTCTGTTGCACACCTGGCAGCGGCCCTCCCTGCCTGCCACGCTGTCCGCCACTGCCGGTCGCCGCCGGAGAGTGGGGACAGGTGAGACGGCCGAACCTCTGCTCGCTCTGGCCCACCACCGCCCAGTGTATTTCTGTTGTTTAAAATCCACTCAGTCTCTGTGACCCTGCAGCCCAAACAGACTAAGGTGGGTTTGTCACCTTTGGCTGTCTGAGGTCATTGACAGTCACCATCTTCCGCTCTAACTCCCAGGTCTTAGGGGCACTTCTTGTGGTTTAGAGACTCAAAGATCTCGGGTTCTTTCGCAACAAAGAGCTTCTTAGCTTTGTTGCGCCACAGCCATGTGGTTGAGTCTGAGACTCCAGAGGGAAGCCGCTTGTCTGGCTGGAGTGGCTCCCACAGCGGCACGGGGAGAGGTTGCCCTTGGAGTCCTCTGCTCAGATAAAAAGGGATTTCAGCTAGGTGCTGCCAAGAGTTATGCACAGGGGCAGGGGGCGGCTTAAATGTATTAGTGAAGTCGTCTGCTGAGTAACGGAATTGCTGAAATAATTTGCTGCATTAAACAAACACGGGAATGCAAAACACAAAACCATACCAAACCAGACAAAACCTCCCTTCAACCTGCCGTGCACCTAACAACTGCTTGTTTACGGAATGGCCGTGGTCTGGGAAAATTCTGTTTGTGGAGACAGGACATCCTGCAGGGCTTATTCCTTGAGGTGAAGGGTTAAGTTGTCTCCTGCACATCGGCACATTCACACTCCAGATGTCAAGATGCAATTTTTGTTTGTCTTTGCTGGGGAGACCCAAGGCTATCTAGTGATGTCAGATGTTTTCTGCTTGCATTTCCCAATTAGCATTTTCTAAAATAAATTTTTTTAAAGATTTTATTTATTTATTTAAGAGAGAAAGAGAGACAGAGTACAAGCAGGGGGAGAGGCAGAGGGAGAGGGAGAAGACGACTCCCTGCTGAGCTGGGAGCTCGATGTGGGGCTCGATCCCAGGACCTGGAGATCGTGAACTGAGCCAAAGGCAGACGTTTAACCATCTGAGCTATCCAGGGGCCCCTCTAAAATAAAATTTCTAAAAAAAACAAAACTGAGAACACTGGAGATGTGGCAGAAATCACATGGGACCCTGCTCACTGACGACATTTTCTAGGCCACTCGACCTTCCCACTTCCCTCACTATGGTTCACCTGGCGGTGTCCTGCCCACTTCTTGGTGGGTTCTGTCTGACTTTCCACCAGCACGGGGTCATTCCTGTCACCACTGGCTCTTCCCAGGGCCATGAGAAGCTGTACCCCTCACAGCTCCAGGTGGCCGCAAATGGGGGACTCACTCCGAGAGCAGCTCTCCCCCAAGGCCTGAGGGAGCTGGTCAAAACACGCCCTGCAACCTGGCCTTTGGCTGGGATAATGCTGAGGCACGTGATTTGCAGTCTCGAGTTTCTCTAAGGCATTAAGCTCATTGCCCACCTAATGCCGCACTGGCTTGCTGGTGCCTATTCACTGGCTACCTTCTTCACAGTCCTTGACGGAGATTTGGGGGAACCCAAACCAAGGCACACTGCCCCGAATTAGTTTTCTAAAGCAAGTCTGACTGTGTTATGTCCAGGATCAAACACCTCGAGGATTTTCCCACCACTACCAGAGAAAGAAAAAAGCCCTTTGTTTGGTGCTAAGACCTTTCTTCATCTGTCCTCAAGCTTCCTTACCAACCTCACCTTGTGCCCTCCACCTTTGAGCCACTGCGGGTGCCCCTAGAGCTGCACCTGCTCCAGCCTGCCCCTGTATTCTTGCACAACCTCTTTGTCAAGAATGAATGCTGTTGGCCTCGTGGCCCCAGATCAGATGGCATCTCCTTGAGCAGCCTCGCTTGATTTCCCCAAAGTTCCTGTTGGCTACTCTCTGCTTCCACAACTTTCAGTGTGACCCTCTATACAGCTCATGCACATATGGTGTTATGTTCCTGGGCTCGAGGTGAGTCCCCTCCACCAATGATGAGTGTCTTATCCCCTGGGACACGGTCTTATTCTTCCTATAGCTCCAGAGATGACCAAAAGGGCTGACTCTCAATAGTGTTTTATTTTTACCAAAGAATAAGCAATGCGTGGATTTGTGTCTTATTCTCCCTGGAGTTCTGGGGGGCGGGGGGAGGGTGGGGCTTTGTACAACGTAACTCAAACCCTGCCATCGCATGCTTGGACGTGGCTTGTCAGCTCACTGACACATCACCAGCACCTACGACTGATGCTGTGACCTGGCCTCTGTCCAGCTCTCCGAAGGCACTTCCCTTCTTCACTCAGCCAAACTGACCTTTACTGTCCTTTGCACATACTGGCCTCATCAGGCTCCAGGGTCATGGGACTTGCTGCGCTCTCTAACCAGGAGGCCCTGCCCAGGGACTTACCAGCCAGTTTCACCCTAACGCCACCCTAAGAGTGGTGGAGGTCACTCTTTCCCGGGCTGCCCTGCCTAAGGAGGCTCACCCCTTGACAGGCACAGAACCCTATTTGGTGTGAGCCCCGGAGCCCAACTTCTTCCTTCGTTAGTTGTCTGCTCGTTTACTGTCTGAATCCCCCACTGGGGCATAAGCCCTGTGAGTGCGGGGACTTTATCAGTGATCTTTGTTTCTCCATCCCTGACATCTACCCAGTGCTGGCCTGATACACGGAGCAACCATTACCACCTGAACGGATGTTGGTTTCCAATTCTCGAAGCATTCCATGCATCCAGAGATAAAACACAGCCACATGGATATGAATACTACACTCAGGTCCCATTGTCTGGCATCCTTAGGTTATGAGTGAAATTTTCCACACTGTTGAAGTTTAGACATTTAAGTACATTGAAAAAGTAAAGTGCAGTTTCCAGACATTGTTCTAAATTATATTAAACACAGACTTCTTGGTCTTCAGGAAATAAGCGTACCACACAAATGTCAACCTTTTCCTGAGCCATCCCTTTCAAGCACATGGCTCTCCTGCAGTGGGGCATGGCTTGTCGCAGACTGGAAAAGGCCTGGTCCTAATCCACCCAGGTATCAGTGCCAACCAGCGCGAGGGTGCTGGAGGTCCAAGGTCCCCGGGGGCTTCTGGAGCCAGAGCTGAGGACCAGCCATTCGGCTGGGGTGCCAAACAAGTCGCTCCTGAAACAGCTTCTGGGGGTGTGGGCACATTCTAGCAACGGCCTGGAGCGCCTCTGCCCAGAGCACGAGACTCACGGTCCCCACCCGCCCACCCCCATGGGGGACAAGTGCTCCTGGCCCCACTCCCACCCCTGAAGTATTCTCCTCACTGGGAAGGCCATGGCAGATTTGTTCTGAGGAGAAGTTTCATACCTCTTTCTCCTCAAAGACTGAGTGCTGCAAAAGCAGTTGAAAAATAAATAGAAAAAGCTCCTCTCTGAGGCTGCACACGACAGTGAAGAGAGACGCAGAGAGACAGGAAGGCCTGGGATGGGGTGCGAAAGGAGATCCGAATAGGGGTAAACAGGGAGATGAGGGAGGGGGACACAAGAAGGGAGGTGCAGGCTGGGACGGGCCACTTTGCCAAAGAGTCAAAGGGGACAAATCATGACCCGCAGTCACCCAAGCATTTTGGTCAAGTGGGATGGATAAAGGAAAAATATTTGTTTATCAGATAATTTCAGGAATGTGTGCTCTTTCTCACAGTTGATAGCTTTCCCTGGAAAATGTCCCACGTGGACAGAATTGGCAGGGGCAGAACACAGAGCAGCCAATGTGTGACCACCAGGGCACGGCCCAGAGGACAGCCCTGCGGCCACCACCCGCGAGGCGAGGTGGCCCTCCCTCACCCTGGATCGACCAACGGTGATCGGCAAGGGAGACATTTCCGGAAAGGCAAAGTGCACGGCCCCGAGCCCGTGCCAGCCCCTCGTTGTGGATGGGAGTGAGAGCCAGCCATGGCTTGGCACCGTGCAGGGGCTCTGCTTATCAGCTGCCAGACCGGTACCCCAGGACGGGTTTTGGAATTGATGGGCTTGAGCTTCCTTTCCCTCCACTTCTTACTGTTTTGCGAGGCTCCAGAGAGTGAGGGGGAGAAGCAAGCAGACTCTCGGTCCTGTTGAATGCATGGGGGAGACGTCTAGACCCTGGGGGCCCAGTGGCCACGAGGGCCATAACCAGCTAGAGTTCCTGTTCCTGCTTGCCCCTTGCTGCCACTGCCCAGCCTACCGGTGCCACCCAGCCCAGGCTAGAGGAAACTTTCGGGGACTCCAGGGCGGTGCTCTTAAACCTTGGTACTTATCAGACTCATCTGCATGAAATCCAGATGCCCAGGGGTCCCGACATCAGCATCTTGTGAAGATTGCGGGTGATTCTGGTGTGCAGACAGGCAGTGACTCACGGCTTTGTAGGGAAGAAGAACTGAAAGTGCCTTTCAGACTTAGTTTCTGGGCCCTATTCACGTCACCTCCCTGGTGTTTCTCGAAGTCCACCTGCCCGTGTCCATCTTCATCCAGGGCCAGCTGCTCTCCCCAGGCTGTGGCAGGACCTTCCTCTTTGGTGTCCCAGCTCTGCTCTATCCCTTTCCCCAGGTTTTTTTTCTTTTCTTTTCTTTTTTTTTTTTTAAGATTTATTTATTTTAGAGAGAAAGAGAGAGTGTGTGCACACAAGTGGGGGGAGGGGCAGAGAGAGCAGACTCCCTGCTAAGCATGGACCCTGACACAGGGTTTGATCTCAGGACCCTGAGATCCTAACCTGAGCTGAAATCAAGAGTCCGATGCTTAACTAACTGAGCTACCCAGGCACCCCGTCTCTTCCCCTAGTTTTAATACACTTGTTTTCAGGCCAAAAACCAAGATGCCAAGAATGGCCTCCAGGGCTCTGGCCTCCTTTGCAACCTCCTTCTCCTTAATGCCCTCCAGCCATGGGGCTTTTCCTTTCAGTTC